ACTTTCAGAGAAGTGTATGAATATCCTTTTGATCAAACTGTAGCCTGATAATAATCAATCGACGTCAATTTCAACCTTATGTAAGTTTCTGCATGTTTTTCTATATCTTATAATCTGCTATTTCTGTATTCATATGTATTTCGCCGCATTACTATCTTTTTAATTGGTAACTTATCTCCCCATCCCTTGTATTATTTAGTTTTCTTTTTCTTACTTTCACACTTTGTATATTCTATAAATAAAAGCTTTGTATTATATATTCTCGTGTAGTCTTCTGTTGTTCTGTGTCTGCGTATGGTTCATTTTCTCTCTTCGTTTACCGATGTCTGGAATTGGAGAATTCCCCTCACAGCGTTCTTTTCTTTATTTTTATATTGAACCTTGGGATCTCTTACTTATTATTTTTTTATTTTCTCGTTGCGTCCCGGCTATCGTAGTCCCAACGAAACCCGGGCGTAACAATATATATATATATATATATATATATATATATATATATTGATATTATAACTAAACTAAAACTAATGATATCAAGAACAAAATATGCCATGATAAAATAAAATAATACACAATAATATAAAAGAAAATAAAACAAAATAAAATAAAGTGCTAGTAATAATAATAATAATATTATATATCAATGGAAAGAAAATGATTTAAACTTTTTAAAAAATGGTTATATTTCTTATTTATAACCTTATTTAATTGTTAATCTGAGCTTAAATTCAAATTCAATATTAAACTACAATTCATTTAAATATTTTAACTCTACCCCAACAATAATATATCTCACATGAACTAGAAAATTAAAAAAAAAAAAAAAAATGTTGATCCAAAATATAAATAAAAACAAAATGAATATAATAATTCTAGCATTTGAAAATTGCTTTGGCATGAAACTTGGAATTGTGAAAGTAATGTAAGATATTATGTATATTTCTTAATATATATATATTAAATAGCTCTGTTACTTAACATTGAGCACTGTTTTTCTTACACTATAGAGTATTTATATGTATTTATGTATACAATCACTCACTTGTATACCTACCTATATTTACCCATTTGGTGATATATATATCTCTATATATATATATATATATATATATATAAAATGGACTCTCCCATCAGTTTCGACGTATGAGGATCTGACTGCTTATTGATTCAGTTATGAAAGTTTAAGCGATAATCTTAAGTGGCATTTAAGACCCACTAGTGATTTACAAAGGAGGCCACATATGGAGCAAATATGAGGATTGTGAGATGAGATCACTGTTAGATTGGCTGACCTTTTAGATCTTGCTCTCGCTTCTTGAAGATGATTCAGACAAGCAGATTGAAAATTGCTGAGTCCACTAAAATACGTTGATCTCCATCCTACCCACTCCAAAGCTAAGCGCTCAAGGGTGTTATGTGGTATACTGACAAGTTGCTTTTCAGCTTGTCTTTGTATCTCAGCCATGGGTGTCCTACATTCCTGTAGCCCTGATCTAACTGGCTGTACATTAGGATCTTGGGTATCCTGTTATCAGACATTCTCAAGACATGACCTATCCACCGTAACTGAGACTGTATGATAAAAGTCTCGATTCCTCCAATATTACACCTGTTAAACAGGTCTATGTTAGATGTCCTATCTTGAAGCTTAACTCCACAGATTGCACGCAGACAGCTTTTATGGAAAACATCTAGCTGGCGTATATGGTACCTGTATATATATATATATATATAAATATAAAAATTACATAGATTTGAATAGGTATTTAACCCTGCAAGAACTTGCAGGATTTATCAACAGTGAGGAGTGAAGAAATAAAATGAAATGGTAGCTTAAAAATTCTAAACATTTAAAGAATAAAGAAAGAAAAATAAAGAAAGAAGAAGAGAGAAAGATGAAAAAGTAAAAGAAAAAGGAAAAAACGAAAAGGAGAAAGAAGAGTATAACAGAGGACGTAGCAAATCGTTTAGACAAAGCTTAAACTCAGTTTCATAGTGGTAGAAGAGGAGTATTAGCATTCAGATACCAGTTAAAATAACCTTGACCTTTATTTTAGAATATTAACATCTAGTTTTATATAAGGAAAATTACTTAAAGGAAATTAAAAAAAGATTTTTTATATTTTATTTTAATAAAAAAACCTTTAAAAGAAGAGTAAGTAAAAAGGTAATATCTAAAATTAAAAAATAAGTGATATACAAATAATAACACATATAATAGGATAATTAAAATAATAATGAAATAATTATTAAAGTGAAGTTATTAAATAAATTTAATAAAAAATATTATATATTAAATATAAATTAATAAGTAATATACATATATAAACTATGAAAATTTCTCCGATTTAATCGGTAGAGAAGACAATGTTTATGAATCTGTGTGTAAGTTTTTGTTTTCCATGTCGACAAATATGAAAATTTCTCCGATTTAATCGGTAGAGAAGACAATATTTATGAATCTGTGTGTAAGTTTTTGTTTTCCATGTCGACAAATATGAAAATTTCTCCGATTTAATCGGTAGAAGACAATATTTATGAATCTGTGTTAAAGTTTTTTTTTTTTTTTGTAAATTAATTTAAATCGAAAATGAAAATTTCTCCAGATTTAAAATATAGTCTTCAATATTTATGAAATCTGAGAAATTTTCATTTTGTTTTCCATGTGGAAAATAAAAATTTAAATTTAAATTTAAATATTGTCTTCTACCGATTAAATCAGAGAAATTTTCATATTTGTCGACATGGAAAACAAAAACTTACACACAGATTCATAAATATTGTCTTCTCTACCGATTAAATCGGAGAAATTTTCATATTTGTCGACATGGAAAACAAAAACTTACACACAGATTCATAAATATTGTCTTCTCTACCGATTAAATCAGAGAAATTTTCATATTTGTCGACATGGAAAACAAAAACTTACACACAGATTCATAAATATATAAACTAATAAATAAAAAATATTAAAACAATATATAAGTGAAATATAAATTAATTATTAAATATAAAAATAAATTAATAAATATAAATATAGAAATATATAAATAAAATTAATTATTAAATATAAATTTTAAATATTAAATCTAAAGTTAAATATAAAATTATAAATTAAATAAAATATTAAAATATAAAATAACTGAGTAAAATAAAATAATACATATAGTAAGGACAAAAATAATAATAATAATATGTGGCACATGGGAACATCAACAATTCCTATTGTAGTTGGAGCCCTCAGATTGGTTGGAAAAGATTCCAGTAGACTAATTGAATGGATTCTTGGAACTCCATGCCTTAAAGAAATACAAAAAATTGTTCTCAGGAGTACAGCCCACACCTTACAAAGGGCTTTATCTATGTAAAATATATATTTTTTTTTAATTTGCCAGTGGAAAATGTCTGGGTGGGACCTGGAAAAAAATGTGTACATGCCAGAAATCAAAGGAAATAAAATAATAACACCAACAACAGTAATAGTAATAACAATAATAATAATAAAAACCTATGTTGGAGGAAGGTTATTTGATAGGAATGAGAATGAGTAGAAATAACAATATAAGTGTCAGATTAAGCAAGATCAATAATATTTTGATCAGTTTGAACCTACTTTAGTGACAACATTAGGGTACTAACTCATTCCTTTGGTTTAGTAGTATACTTTGATTATCAAATTTAATTATTCTAATCTCCTCTTCTAAACATGGGTTACATCTACCCTTAAAATTACTAGGAGTGTGAGTGAAACCTATGAATTTCCAGTCAATCTGAGCGTTCATATCTTTCTCCTTCAATTCCCAAAATGTTTTGGAAAGAGCAGTATTAATATTTTAATTTTGGGTTGGAAAAAGTGTCTATGGGTATAAAGTCTTTGTTTCCATTCCCTCATGGAAATCCCAATGTAAATATGATGGTTTAATTTATTTTCTTTGTGGTAAATGGTTGCTTAGTAAATAACATTCAAAGCTCTGCATTTTCCTTTGACTGGACAATGTTTGCTATTTCTGAAATTATTTTTGGGGGGATTCATACCAGGTTTATTGCTGATACCATAGAATTTATTTAGAATATAGTTATTATGGGAGCCAATAATTTTGTACATGTTTGTACAGGAATAACTTATTTTGATGGTTTTTCCCATTGAAGATCTTACCTAGAGGGTTGTTATTTTGGAAATGTTCAAAAAAACTTGTCCAATATTAATTTTGGATAACTTACAGAAGGTATGGGGGGTTGAACCATATTATATTTCTTTTACTATTTTTGTGCTTACAACTCATCTTATTCTCATTAGTGTTACTCTTGGGGTTTAAGTAGGATAGTTTATTTTTAAAGCCACTTTTTTGATGAGCACTGTCATATAATTCTTTGTTTTTATTAAAAATATTCATATTAGATGAAAGCTTACTAATTCTGAAGCTGACAATAATTGGTATCTGCTTCAAGATGGTATATTATGAAAATTATATATATATATATATATATATATATATATATATATATATATATATATATATATTGTGTATTTAGGCAGCATATTTTCATTCAAACAGGTTTGGTTAAATTTAGGTTTGGTTTGATGAGACAAAGATGAGACTGAAAATACTTGGGAAAATAAAAATTATTTGAAAGAAAATTTTGGTATTTTTCTTAATCAATTTTCTGTGGCTACTAAGAAATTGATTCATGGATTTGAGAGGATTAAAACAAAAATAAACAGACATATTATGTCTAAATTATTTAACCAAACCTGTTTGAATATATATATATATATATATATATATATATATATCATTGCTGTTAAATTAGTTAAATTTTGATCTGAAATTTTCACTGTATAATGTTCAATCTATATAATTAATATTCACACTAAATTAAGTGCCTTTATAAAAGAGATTATGTTGAAAAATAAATATTTGTTGTGCAAAATAAATCCTTTCTTTAATAATTTGACTATAAACTTATTGATTTATGTATGTGATAGAATTGTGAATACTCACAATTTAATTTCTGTTGAAGATAACGTAATTTCATGGCAGTACGGTAGGCAGCAAAGCGAATATTGTTAAAATCACCTGAAAACAAAAAAAAAAAAAAAAATTAGACAAAAAAATATTGAAAGCGACAAATATAATTTGATCAAATTCTTCAGCATGTAAAAGGTCATTTTAGTACAGAGCATACAGTGTTGTAAAAGGCATTAAAAAAATATGTGTGGAAATGACAAAACATTGTTACAAAACAAACAGAAAAAGATGAAAATAATCATTCAAAAAACATGTGGAATAGTAACAACCTTTTAAACACATGCATTTATCTCAAAAGATGAAACTTTAAGGACAAAACATTGGAGAAAAAATTTATGCTATAAAGAGCAAAAAGATGATCATTCAACATCTCACAACACTGGACAAAGTGTTGTTCTAAAATAATAGAAAAAAATGAAAATATTCATCCAAAAAATTTGAGGAATAGTAATAACCTTGAGAACACATGCATTTATCCCAAAAGAGAATATTTTCAAGGTATGATCTAAATAAATAAATGGCAAATTCTGTCTGTTTGTCTCTATGTCTGAAACTTTTCTAACTTAGGCCAAACTTGCTCTACATCGACATATATCTTTTTGGAATCAAGATGATCCAGGGATTGAAAATCTGCCCTCCATCTGATGCTTGAACATCCAGCATTGTAATTTTTGTCTGGATGAGGTGGGAATAGTTAAAAATTCAAATTTTAAAATAACTGAAAAACATTTTAAGTTTTTAATTTATATTGTATTTATATTAATACAAAAACTTTCAGTTTATAAGCAGTAACTTGAGTTTTGCTAACTGGAAATTCTCAGTGGCTGAATAGTTAACAGCATGTCAAGTCAAATGACTGTTTCCATATGGAATACAGGTTCAATTCCTGTTGGGGAATGCCTATTTTCTACAAAATTTCTCAAACATTCAGTCTGGTAAATGTAATTAATACAATTTAATTAAAAACAGAACATTTACTTCAAATAAGTTGTATCCATAAAAATAACAAATAAACAGAAAATATATATATATATATATATATATATATATATATACACACACACACACATTAATATTAGGCAGCATGTATTCACCTAAAACAGTTTGATATTCCAATTTTCAAATAACGTGTTGAGTATTGTGATTGAAATTGTGGATAAACTGTCCAAAGTTCATGTATTTTGTTCAAGTACTTTCAGCCATTTTCAAGAACCGGTGTGGTATCTGTGTGGTAGGCAAAATTCCTTTGTCTATATCATAGTATTCTTTAAAAAGGTGGAAGTTTGAAACAGTCTATGGTAATATCATGAGTAACAGTTATTGGGAACAAAGTCGCACCACAAAAAAACAATTTTTATATATATATATATATATATATATATATATAAATGTGTGCACATTCTTTTTGGTGTGATCATATTCTCAATAACCATTAGACACGAGTTTATGCTTCACACACATATCTATTCAAATACACATCTATGCATAAACACAAGTTCTCTCTCTCTCACACACACACACATATATATATACCTACACACATACAGTATCTTCAAATTAACTAATCTTGACCTGTTTCATTAGTTAATAGCTAATATCAAGTGGTTGATGTTTGAGTCAAAGAGAAAATAATTTCAAATGCTGATTTTCAAAGTAGGCTCTTCCCATTTGAAGAGTGGTGCAGCCTGATCTTTCTATCTGATTCACATTGCATTTGGTTTAAGTTTAATAAGTATCAAGGCAGCTACTGGTGGTCAGATAGCTCTTCTAGCTATTTCATTAGTCAACGGTGTTCAATCTTAACAGAGTGCTCCACTGTTATGGCCTTCTGTCAGACTAAGTTAAGCCTAGTAAATATCTTGTGACAAAGAGAGTTATTTTCTGTTGTTGCCAGGTGTAGAGCCAAGTAAAAGCTTGGATTTCGTAGGTTTATTTTCTTTGCAGTCAGACAGGCCCTTCACATGTGGAGGACCGGGGTAATACAATCTTTCATTGCTCATTTCCTCCCATTTAGCCTTTTGTTAAACTAAGCTTAGTGAATATATGTTACCTGCTGTAGTATAATGTTTAGCAAAATTGTTGTAATAGTGAATTTCTATTTTGTCTTCAGGGTCTAGAATACACTGATTGTATTCCCTGCATAGGGATAAGACTCCTACCACCACAAAAGGAGACCATCTGCCAAGTAAATGTCTACAGACTCAAATATAAAAGACCAATATCTATCCCAAAGCCAAGTAAATACTTAAAGAATCAAATTTAAACTACTAATATTTAGCTATTCCAAAACAAAGTAATTGCTTATAGATACAAATATAAATGACCTATTCCCCAAACCAAGTAAATGTTTATCAGCTCAAATATAAACAACTAATATCTACTTATCCTTGTACAAAATGAATGTTTTTAGACTCAAATATAAATATTTCAGTCAGTAAAGTGCCATATGTAATACACGCTTTTCATTCATGACTAGGCAGAGATTTTTCTGCTATTGTTGCTGTTTCTTTCTGTGGTAGACTGGTTGCCAGCCAAGGCTAGAGGACCCAGTCTGTCCTGCTATTTGACCCATAGCTAGGAGGAGAAGAGATGGATTCATACCTGTCTCAAGAGTATTTGTGCATAAGACTAATATTTACCTATCTCTGAATCAAATAAATGCTTACCTGCTTACCGACCTAGATTATTACAGAAAAAATTGGCTGAATTTGACATTAAATAACCCAACTAGTGTTGATATTTTGTAAAATCAACCAACAAAACACTGTAGTAAATTTGATTCTCACAGGGTGCATTATTACTGCCAAATTAAGTGTTAAGCCAAGTAAATAACAAAAAAAAAACAAAACAAAAAAACCCCCCAAAAAACACCCATACAAAGAAGAAAGTGTTTTGTTTTCAATTTTCTTTCAAATGTAATTGAAAGGCTAAATAAAAAAAACCCAAATCCCCTCTTTAAAAATTTTTGTGCCATTTTTATCTTTGTATATATGTAAGAAAGAAAAGTGAAAATAAAAAAAAAAAAAGACAAGAAACAATTATCAAAATGCATAAGTGCTAAACAGTCAAGCTAAGTGAAAGACCAACATTAGCAGCTCAAAATGTATCTGTATTTTCCAAGCGTTGGTTCTCAGAAATTTCTTGAAAGCTTACCAATTTTCAGCAGGGAAGAAATTCTTGAATGTGTATTTAAGATGTCTGCCAGGGTCACAGACAAAAATAGTACAACTGGTGATTACATTTAACCAAAGTGATAGCTCAGGAGTTAAGCCACAAAACTGTAGGGGGCAAGTTTAAGGTTCAAATCTATTTTTCCTGTCCACTGCTTTGAACAAAGGGCTGTAAGAATCAAAAGGCATTAACAAGCTGGAGGTTACTCAACTTTTTCAAAATCTGAGGATAGATTATTTACACACACACACACACACACACACACACACACAACTTTGAGAGTAGTTTTTAGAGCTGACAAGGGAGTTCATTTTTGGTGTAAGTCATCTTACATATACTGGACATTGACTATGATGCAATGGTTAACAAACTAGTCTTACAGAACAATTCACTAGTTTATTATTATCTACAAGTATAAACTATCCTCATCATCTTTGAATACTTTGTCAGTCAACAGAATTTAGATGGCAGAATTGTAATGATATAAATAATTATATTATTTCAAATTTAAAAAAAATTATCCATACTGACAGATATGTCAATGCAACATAATTCTGTTTATTAAAAAAAAAATCTTTCAAAAATAAAATGTACTTTCCTGAAACATTTTTGAGAAAAAATATCTGATTTAAAATTTATCTGAATTGAAACAACTAATACTTACTTTTATTTTAAAATATTGCAGAAAAGCATCTTTTTTTATGACAGAAGTGGGTATTTTTTCACAGCCTGATATTTGAAAAATTTATCTAAGGGTGACAGTAACTAGAAAAATTACATTAATACAATGTGAACACAGTTTTTTATACAATCTTTTTAACTATCTTAAAAATTTATATTTTAAGCATTCTAATATTCTATTGAATTTTAGGTACTTTGGCTTTATAGTCTTATGAAGATGCTTGTTGAGAAAATGTTAGAAAATTATCAATAAATTTAGAATTTACTACAGGTACCTCTCTTATTTTTTGATAATGTCATATATGGATATCTGTATTTACAAAAATGAACACATTTCTACAGACATAAAACAAATTCAAAATTATTTTTAAATAATGGGGGTGGGGGTGTCAATGAAATTGTAGTTAGCTTTTATTTATGGTTAGTAATAGCAGTTTTAATCTAATAATATCACTTGACCACTACACATTAATACAGAATTTTAAAAGATTTAAAAGTTTACAAAATATTCTAATTAAAATTAAAACTGTTTTGTAAAAATTCACTATTCATCTAAAAAATAATTTATAGAATATATGTTATTCAGAAAAGCAATTAAAATTTTTCTAATTAAATAATTTTTATTATATTTTTTTATTTTATGATTCAGAGCAAATTTTCTGTAACTGGGGTGGGGGGGGAGGTTCATGTTTGACACAGAAACAGATGTAAAAAATATTTTTATCATAATTTTCTAAAAAAGAAACATTTCCAAAATAAATTCATTCATTTGTGAATAAGTCCTAATAGTTTCATTAAAATCCAACAATTTGCAAGAATTTTCAAATCAATGTGTTTTTCATTGCTAAAATTTATAGCCATATGTCAACACAAGAAAAACAAAATTTGTACCAAAAATTTCAAGGATAAAAAAAAAATCATTTTACATAAAAAAATCTTTTGATCATCTCTCTTAATAATAACAAAGATTTTGATGATAAAATTTTTGTTTCTATTATGTTTTGAGCATTTTTCATCATATATCCTCTTTTTAGCAATTTTTTAAAGGTGTTATATATATATATATATATATATATATATATATATTTCAGACTAGTTTTGTTTTTATTACATTTTCTCAATTTGTATATAATTTGTTGCACATCCAGTGCAAATTTGTAGAGCAAATATCATTATCAGGAATGTTAATATTATCA